CCCAAGGGTTGCGATCCCCTTACCGGTCACGAAAAAAAAAAAAAAAAAAAAAAAAAAATGTGACCACCTATAAAAATCACCTGGAATGGGGGTTGGGAGGTTGCTTGTTAAAATACAGATTCTTGGGCATCTAGAGATTCTAAATTGGTAGGGCTAGGTTGGGGCCAAAGTTAGCAAGTTCCCAGGTGATTCTGAAGCCAGGTGCCTAAGGACCACTCTTGGAGAACATGGCCTCCTTGTCGCATTCTAGGTAGCCTCTGGCATCAGCTTGTTTTTTTTTATAACCTTTCTCAGTGCCTGCCCTGGGCCCGGCCAGGAGGAGGTACTACTGGAGCTCCCAGACTGGTAGGGAAGGCAGATGGAAACTGAGTGTGCGGTCAGTGTTGGAACAGAGGCAGTAGCAGGCAGTGGGGATAGCAAGTGACTCCAGAAGGCTCCCTGGAGGAAGTAATGTTTAGACTGGGCCTAGGGATTTGATTCTTGTTTGTGTCCTAGCTACTTTTTTCTTGTAGGTCACTCCCACCAGAGGTATGCAAGTTCATAGACGTTATTAGATCTTTGACACTGTCCTCAGTGCTGGCACAAGGCCTGGCACAGAGAGGTCAAATCGGCTGACCTGAGCAATGAGAAATGCTGATGGAGATGTCCCAGGGGCTCAGGATTAAATGCATTTTCATGCTCAGCACCCGCACCTCCTCCCTTTGTGAGGCCTAACATGGCAATATTTTAATGGTGAAAACTCTTCATCATACTGTAAACGTCTGTTACCTCTCGGTTCTCCTCCCCCCCCCCTTTTTTTTTTAAAAAAAAGATGACCGGTAAGGGGATCTTAACCCTTGACTTGGTGTCAGCACCACGCTCACCCAGTGAGCAAACCGGCCATCCCTATATGGGATCCAAACCCGTGGCCTTGGTGTTATCAGCACCACACTCTCCCGAGTGAGCCACAGGCCGGCCCTCCTCCTCCCCTTTTTACTAGACCGGTGAGCTCCTTAGAGCCACTAGTCAAAGTCTGAATTAAGCATGGGGCACAGAACAGGCTCTTAAAACGTCTGCTGAATGAACAGGTGAATGAATTGAGTTCAAGCAGAAGCTGTTCGTTGGCTATTGAAGGGATTTCAGCTGAAACGGGGCTTGTAGGAAAGCTCCAGACATTCCTCCCCATTTCCTGGCAGCCCCCTTGGGCTTGGGCTCTAGGTGAGGGATAGGGCGGGGCGCGGGATTTGAGAGGAAAGGCATAGCTGGGGCAAGTTGAGGATGGGAGATGTGGCTGGGGCTTTGGAGGTGGGCCTGAAGATACAGGAAAGAGGTGACGGCCGTTTCTAGAGATCTGAGCTGAAGGTGTGGGGCTACAGGTGGAGGGTCTGGGGGGTCACGCGGAGCCTGCTGACGATGTGATGTGCAGACCGAAGATCTATCCTAGCAGGGTGGGGCGGGGCGGGGCGGAATCCGGGTCCCCACGCCTCCTGCAAAGGCTGTCCGGGCTGGGGGCGGAGAGTGTGAACGCGCCCGGCACCGCCCGGACAAAGCCTGCGCGCGCCCCGCCCCGAGATTGGTCGCGTCGCCGCCCCGTTCCGCCCTCCGCCGCCGGTTCGGCGCACTGCAGCCAATGGGCGCTGCCGCCGCCGTCTCCGTCATAGCCCGAACAACCAATGGTGACGGCGCTCGGCGGCTCGTGGCTCTTTCGCGGCAAAAAGGATTTGGCGCGTAAAAGTGGCCGGGACTTTGCAGACAGCGGCGGCCGGGGGCGGAGCGGGATCGAGCCCTCGCCGG